AGACTATTGCCTTCGCGATCGAAGTAAAGCCTCCAAAGACCCTTCACTGCCTTATCATCATCCAAACCCAGATCCTCGTACTCTTGCTCCCTCCGGATATCATCTGGCAATCGCACTGCCAGCCACCGCTCATTCCCCTCCAAAGTAACATACTGTTCGTCTTCCGTCCAGTCGAACGGACCGCACACGTTCTCCTCGCTATCCTTCCTATTCCCATAACTTAATTGCTTCACCTCCTTGTCCAGATATACCCACCGCGCGAGGGGCGGTTCTTCCGGACTCATTGAGATAAGACCGGCCGAGTTGTCTTGTCCGAAAGCTGGGTGTGTGTAGTACTGTCCGTTGAATGGAGCCATGCTGGCGCTTGGTTGTTTGATGATGTAAATCTAATACATTCAGCAACCTATCATGCAAAAATCCCCGAAACTGTATATGTCAAACGAACCTTATAGTCCTTGTCAAGATACACTTTAGCATTGTGGACCTGCTGTCTTTGCGTCGGCGATCCCGTGGTTTCCTCGCAAGTGGCTACCAGATGACATCGTCGTGATCGTGACTCGGCTCTGCGGTTTTCCTCCTGGTCTCGAGCACCCTTCGTAGCTTCATTCAGCCCTATGATAGTGGGCACTAATGTTGACATCATGACTAATGAGAACACCATATTGGGCAGCTTCTGTCTTGTTGATTTGCTGGTTGTTCGAATAGGCGTAAAGCTGCTATGCAAGTATCATAGACTCTTGTTGGGAGCAGGTCTGGTTCTGCTGCGACTTTCATATATTCTCGGTCACCCCGGTGAGGCCCGTCTGCGGGACCCCTCAGCATTCCATTGCCTCGGCAGCGCCGATGCGACGTTGGATGACATATTGGATGCCGCGTGTACAACAAAGTTAGGGTGTGAATGAGTAGCAACTTCGCCGGATGCGGAAGACTTCTGCTGGAACCGGCATCATGCGGATATTCAATTCATAGGTGGATTTTTTAAGCCCACCAGTGTCCATTACAACCCACCATGTAATGCGGCGAGCCTAATCGCGGATAAAAGGGTCCTCCTGTAACTCTTAGAACATGGGTGACAGAGGTCCAGAAGACACTGCAATGTAAGTGGGAAGAATTCATGTCAAGGTAGACTTACCCTTTGCTCCCACCGTTTGTCGAGATCGCTCATGTCATAAATAAACTAAAGACATTTGGCTAACACATCTTCCCAACCTTAAAGCGAACAACCACCTGGAACGTCAAGCCCAACAGAAACTTCGCCCTCCGCTCCAAAACCACCAAAACTCAACAAGCGACGGAAGTCGAAAAAGCTTTCAAGTCCACCATTAGAAAAAGTGGATTCACCACAGGGAGACCAGCAAGGACCTGGGGAGAGCCCATCCACAGATCCAACAGCAGCCCCAGCCGATCAAGGGGGTGATCAAAGCAATTCCCAAGAACAACCGCAAGATACGGGATCAAAGATGACCGACGCAGTAGGAGATGTCGGCAACTTGACAAAGGGCGTCGGCGACAAGGCCGGCGGCGTCAAGGACACCGTCAAGGAGATTACCACTGGTGGTATGAACATGAACATCGACGATCCGGATCTGCAGTGGGAGACGCCGGAGAAGAGCGGTAGCCTGCAAATCCGAGTCCGACTCAATTTGCGTGCAAAAGTGCAGCTTAATCTTGATGCGAGAGTTAAGGGTGAGGTTGTTATAGGGCTTTTGTGAAATTGTTGGTCGGTTTCAATGCTATTGAAACGGGCGTTAGCCTCACCCGCACGAAGCTGTACATTACATAGTAATGTAATGATAATTGACTTACTGCTGCGTAGTTCCACTATTAGGTTGTATAAGATGCACGGATCCTGTATGTCACTACTGTGGCTGGCAAGCTGGCACAACAGTATTTCTGTAAGCCTGTTCGTTCCAGGCAACTATAGCACGATGGCCGAAGTGTCAAGCGCCAAATCCCAGTTTCCAATCTGACTGAAGAAGTTATCAATATTGAGGTCACTGTCAATTCCTGAGGTAAATGGAAACGGTGTGCTGTTCGGCATTTGCTGTACTTCCATATCTAAAACTGCCAACTGGCCGTTGGTTGGGTCGATTATCTCATCCAGGATCCGGGACAAGATTCCATGGGCCCGTCTGCAAGATTCACCGTTGACTTCTTTTCGATTGATGCTCCTTTGAAGATTTGAGACAAACACAGCGAGGTTTTGTATAACTTCGGCTCGAGGAACCACCTTAATTTCCGGGTTCGAAGTGTTGAATGAAGGATGCAGGTGCTTCAATAGGTCCACTGCCAGGATACTGGCTCCTGGTAGCCCGTAATAGAGCATCTTGGGAGATTTTCAGTTGTGCTTTTTTTAATAAAAGAAGACTATTAGCACTTACAGGCCAAGATATATCTCGCTGCATGTTGGATACCTGATCAGAGAGTGACACTACCTGCAAGACTGTATTCAGCAGTGACCTCGAAATCCTGTACAATGGCTCCCGCGTCCACTCTGTCTCGTTCAAAAGCTTTCGATGCAATAAGAAGCAAGTGTATTTTTGATCCATGTATGTAGTCATCACAACATATCGCTGAGGAGGAGGTATGTGCTGAGATCCAGTGATTTCGTCGTACTTGAGCTCATGTGGAATCTGGTCCCATACAGCTTCCTGTCGAGCCAGTATATCCCTATCGAGTTCTAATGAATAATGTAGAGCTAACCCGAGAGCAAAGAGTACTCACCTTGCCAAAGCCTCATTTCCAATAGAGAGTCGCGTACCGAGACAAAGTCCAAGTATTTCCTCCCGAAACTGGCTGATAATTAGCTTTATCCGTCTCCAGGTTGCACCACGAAATTGTCGATCCATATTCCAGCCGTTCGCATCGACATTGTGTAATGCATTATCTAGTTCGTCTCCCTCTAGCAACAGTATCTCGTCGTCGATATCAGCGGGCATGGTATTGGCGCAGTAGGGTCCAGAAATTCTGGGCGGCCGGCCGAGGAATGTACTGATCGTTTTGTCCATAGAATATATCTGGGCTGCGTATCTCCTTCTCAACTCAACTTGGTAGAAAGGATAGGTTGCCTCGAGTCCGGAATCCTCCTGGTGAAGTCCGAGCGCGAAGAACATGCTTGAGACATCGCCCATGCAGCGCCATAATTGGAAGCCTATACAATCAGTATATAGTCCCTACGAACCAGTATCGAGTCTATCCGATGCCACTTACTCATGTCACCGTAGACCAGGTTCTTCAAGCAGGCATTCCCATAAAGTAACCATAGTGCTTGGGGGCTAACACAATTGTAATTGTTACAAACGGCCGTGCAATAATCGACACCTTCAGCGAGTCGATGAATGAAATCCGGCATCTGGTCAGATCGTGATGTTTCTGGGGGTTTGCTTCGTTTATTGACGTCATATTTGAGTGACACTCCAAGGATGGCAAGGACGAAGCCAATGATCTCCCATCTGATATTAGGCCCAGTGAACAAGGTGTGATAGTCCTCCGCCGGCAGAGTTGTAAAGGCATCTAAAGGCTTGGCAGTGTTTGCGAACAGAGTCACAACAAGTTGTCTCAACCGATTGCCCCTAGATCTTTGCATAGTATCTTGTATCGATTCGATACAAGCCTTGATAAATGGATGCGGCACCATGCACGTATAGGAAAGCTCGAGGTATCTGCAAATACTGTCTGCAAATCCTGGAAACTCGAACAGCAAATTCAACACCTTAGTACCCTCCGAAATCTGTTTCTCTGTATACTTCTCCTGATAAGTTGGACAACCTGGACCAGAAGAAAATTCCTGGGCGGATAGCTGTCCCAGATAGCGACCAACAACATTTTGGTCGTCACTGATATTTGCTGGGAAGGCTGTCGACCCAAAGAATTGAGCTTCTGCGCGAGGCACGGTCCTAGATGTCGATGACGAAGATATGCTCTCTCTCAGTGAGTTATCACGAGCAGGCAGGGATTTCAGGCCCGAGGAGCCCAAGGGCCGCCTTTTCGGCCGTCCAGACTTAGGCCTGTCGCGCGGTTTGGTCATCGGCGCAGGATGATAAACACAGCTATTTTCTTTCTGACGGACGACACATCTGTCGCAGACGGGAGTTTTGTGATCGCAGCGAATCTTCGATATTCGACAAGGCTCGCACGAGCAAGGCTTTCCATTGCGTCTGGTTGAGACTGAGCGCCGAGAACTCATATTGAATACCTAAGTCAGAATGCCATGGATCTTCTTAAAAAGGGAAGAATCATCAGATTTGAGCACAGATCAAGCAGTAGAAAGAAGGCTTAATCCTTTGCACTGGAAATGATGATGCCAAGCTGTTTTACCTCGGAGACGCAAACACACGAGCACAATCCGCAGTGCTCCACAAGTAAGAAACAGGGTAAATTCACGGTCGCCAAATACAGTGGTGGATTTCAATTGGTCACATGACAGTACCCCACTAGCAGATAAGCCTTATTTTCAGGGACAGCAAACTTTAGGGCGATGGACGCTTGTCTTGTAACAGAAAGTCCTATCCTGCAGTTTTTTCTGCGTGTGAATCGGCGCATACCAGAGTACTTAAGTGCCAAGCATGAGGATGTTTGTTCCTTCTGTCAGCTAGTAGATCGATTCATCATCTCCAGCGGAAGATGTGGGGGTTACCCACCGTACGCATCAATATGGAGGGACAAGTATAAACCTTAAGACAATATCGTGATTAACCAAAAAATCAGTAATTGGAAGTCCTTCTAAGCATTATCAAACTACATCTGTATGGCCGTTCTCTATTACATTGATTGAAGTCTGGAGATACTGCTCCGTAACAGTAATATATATTTGGCTGGGGATGTTACATTCAGTTTTACTCAGTACTCTGAAGAACAAACCAAGTAAGCAAACGTCACGTAACCATTTCCAGATAAATAAAATGGAGTACTTGATTAAATACGTATACAATAATCCGATGGAAGAGTTCGCGCCTTATCCACAGTGGCAGTTGCAAGTTTCTTCGGCACGTCGCCCGATTCTCAACAATTCAATGCAGCCCTCATCGCAATTTCCAACTTCTTGATGGCGTCGTCAGAAATCTGATAATGCACCACCAAGCGCCCTTCTAATCGCTCTTTCTCATGCACCTTGAGTCCTAGCTCCTTTGCTACCCGTTGGAATGCTTTCTTGTCGACCTTGCCATCGTTGAGATTCATCCACATCATGTTTGTCTCCGTGGGTCTCATTAAAGACCCACCTAGGCGTTCCCACATCATGGAAATATACTTTGCTCTCTCCTGACACCGTTTCAACTTTCCCCCAAGGAACACTTCCTTGAGTGCAACGCACATGGGCGCCGAAATTATCCCTGTTTGACGCAGTCCCCCACCGAGAAGCTTACGCATCCACCTCGCTCTTGTTATGAACTCTGCGTTCCCTACAATCACAGACCCGATGGGTGCTCCCAGACCCTTGGTAAAACATAATGAAACGCTGTCGAAGCACTCGCAAAATTGACCAAGAGTACCTGCGCCCGCGACAACAGCCTCCCATAGCCTTGCACCATCAAGGTGCATGTGTACCGGTGGGTCTTGGAGTTTAGCCCATGCGGAAATATCTCGGATTTCGTCGAGGGGCATGACTGTTCCGAAGAGTGTGTTCTCGAGGCTTATAACGCGGGTGGGACAGTCATCTATGCACACAATATTAGCACAGGTGTATTAACATGTAAGTCCACTCACAGATATCCTTCTTGAATATAAAGTGCTTTTTGATGTCTTCTAGCGTCAAATGATGGCCATTTGCTGGGATGACACCGTGAATCAGAGCGCCACATAGAGTCGCTGCCCCACCTGCCTCCATGTTGAGGATATGGCTGCGATGATCCGCAAGGATGGAGTATGGTGGGGTGGTGAGGGCTGTCCGGAGTGCCACTTGATTGCTCATAGTCCCAGAATAAGTAAGAAGCGCTCTCTCGTGGCCTGTCAATTGAGCCATCCACTCCTGGAAATAGTTAGTGGTTGGATCCTCCATCATCTCGTCGTCGAGAAGTGTTGTGTTGACGATAGATTCGAGCATGCTCATATTCGGAGAGGTAACAAAATCAGACCGGAAGTCGTAGGCGGCTCGACCGGGTGTACTCCAATTGTTCTGTGGGAGGCCGGTGTCGTGAACCTCTACTGGGTGTTCGGTCTGGCGGACAATTGTCATGGCTGCATATGGTGGGAATTATTGCCCAGTCAAAAAAGCCTTTAGAGTTGTTTGAGAATTGTAGCGAGGATAATGAGGGTGTCTATCGTCGCTCATTTATTATGCCGCTGTCGGGCAAAGTACGTGTCGGCTTTTTATCTTTTCGCACCCAGTTTAGAGCTATTTCTTCCCGAAAGCTTCACCATAATCACGTCAGAGCCTTGAGGCCTTTTTCTATGCATGTAAGAAAAGCGACGCGTCAGATAAGGAATAATCCTGCACGTAAGAAACAGCTATGCAGGTAAGAAGATCTGCGGCGTTGAAGCGGGACTCGAAGTAGCTATTTAGGTCTTCCTCCGCTGCAAGGTCATACATGGCGCATCAAGGTTTGATACAATGGCCTAATATGGCTAAGCTGTGGTAAGGCACCATGCACATGTCCAAAAGAGTCCGATGCGGTGCGAGCAAACCACCTTGGCCTCAGGTGAATGTCTGACATAGTCTGGGGTTTCCGATGTCTCCATGGAGTAATAACCACACGCTCGGAGTAAACTGGGAAAGTCACCAGCTCCCCCACATTATGCTATGGCCAATAATCGGAACGCCGAAACTCTAAGGGGGATGGTAAGGCGATGTCATAGTACAACGGCGAGCGAGATATCGCACTTGAAAGAGGGGTAATAGCAGTGGGGACATATATAGGGGTCGCCTGAGCAGTCAATCCTGAGGGCATATGTCACCGTTCGAATCAACGAAAGCTCCGTCCTCTGCCAATTTCACATGGTAAACACAATGTCATCTCATCGGAAGGATAACATCGGCGAACTCATCGAATTCGCTCGTTCCCATTCCCCGTTTTACCAACGCGTTCTTGAACATGTTCCGGCAGGCGCCAAAAGTGTTTCTGACCTTCCTGTCATCGACCCCGACGAATACTGGAAGGCGAACACGTCCAATCCCAATGGGGTAATGACACGGCCTCTGATTGACGGCACAGTCATGCGCAGTGGCGGTTCCACTGGCACTCCCAAGCAAGTTGTCATGACCAAACAAGAGCTGTCAACTCATGGCAAAGTCACCGCCAATGCGATGGCTCATGGCTGTGGCTTCCTCCCTGGCGACCGTGTGGCAAACATGTCCTTCCACGGCTCTCTGTATGGAAGTTTCATGCTCTTGAATACAGCGCTACTCGAACTTCCTATACCAATTGTGCACTTGCCTATTAGCGGAAACGAATCCATTGACATGATGGCCCACTATATGAAGAAATTTGATGCTACTGTCCTCATTGCCAACGTTTCAACCACGCGTCGTCTGGCGGAATACTTCACTTCCATTAGCGAGACTCTTCCCAGTCTTCGGCTGATCTTGTACACGGGCGAATGCTTTACCAAGGAGCTCCGTCCAGTTTACCGTGCAGCCTTCCCGAACGCCACCATTTATGTCCGCGAGTACGGCGGTATCGATTTCGGACACGTGGGCATTCCAGCACAGCCCTTCAAGAATGAAGATGACGACATTAAGCCCATCTACAAAGTCTTGGCGCCCTTAGTTATCTTTGAAATCTTGGACGAGGATGGCAATCCAATCATTACACCCGGAGTCAGGGGAAACGTGGTCATCACTAGCTTGCTGAAGAGGCAGCAACCATTGCTTCGCTACCCTGTTGGTGATATCGCTTCTTGGGTTGATTACGATGCGGAAACATTCTACATCCACGGACGTGATGCTGTCAGCATTAAGATCGCCACTACACATCTACCTGTCGCCTATCTCAGAGAATTGATCGTGAGGGTCCTTGGTCAAGGGAAGGCCTCAGGAAGCCAGTTTGTTGTGCGGCTTCTGAAAGAAACCCACGAGCAGGCGCTTGTCTTGAGGATTGTCGCGCCAGAGCCAGAGAACGCATCCGTCGTAGCGAATGCGTTTGAAGAAATCTTGTGCGAGGAGAGCCCTACCTGGAAGAAGAACCGGAAAGTGAAGAACATTGCGCCGCTGCAGATTGAATGGATCGAGGGCAAGGATTTGATTACGAATGCCGGCAGCGGGAAGTTACGCGACATTGTTGATGAGCGGTTTTCGAATGGCATATGAAACTTCTACGTACAATTGTCATACTTTGCCAAGGTTGAGGGAAGTAGACCTAAAACATAGCGAAATATATCAATCAACAACTGTAGCGTTGCCAAAAGTACCCACAGGGGATTCCTCTCTTCAGCACTCTATCGACTATAGGCTAAAATAGGCTAATAAATTATAGTGTCGCAGACCCTTGTTTCGGACAGACTAGCACCTCAACTAGAACCTTCCCATGTAGGACGGCTATGAAATGCAAATGTCCCCGTTGCTGTTGCCGAAGGTTGGATCAAGCAATGTCCGAAACCTTTTAGCCAGTGCTTGTTTACTCTGCTCAGTATGGACCCTTAGTCCACAGTAGCCTAGACACTTGCTAACAAAAGCCACATAATCATTTCCCTATACCCCTACCCCGCTCCTGCCGCTTTTGTCTGGCCCCCATCCTGAATCCTCATTCCTCATGGCGAATTACCCGGAGAATCCTTTGGTTTTGTTCTTTCAGCTTGTGTGGGCGATCATCACACCAAACTCCAATTGTGATGCGACTCCAAATACCTGCCTTGCATGGGCAAAGCAAGTGGCAAACCCTCATTCAGATGACCTCCTAATGTGCCCAGAAAATCATCAGCACAACTCTGGATCTCTTCAGATGAGATAAAATGGCGCGATTTTAGCGGCGGGTTGGACCGCCCGATCAATATAAACAATAGCGACGAGCCTATCCGCCGATGGTGATTAATACGACCGAATCACTAAAATGGCGACCATGGACCGGCTGCATCATGCAAGGGTCGTATGAAGCGGAGGAGCAGGGTCATCTTGCTTAGGCACGTGCTGCGGGCAGTCAACGGCGCACTAGGTCTTTCCCTGTTGGTAGGAATAATCCGAAGTCTAGATTCACCAAAACTGGGCTAATATAGACCAGGTCTAGTCGAACGTCCCTCCGCTGCAATTTGCACTAACGAGAAGGGTCCTGGTTTGATAGATAGTACTTTGTCAGGATCAACCGGGCAGACGGCAAGACTGCCAAGCGGCTGACGCGATCTTCTCAGCAAGGCTCTCAGTCTTGCCCACCATCACCAGAGTAGGTACGCAAATAGGCGTACAGAATACTAATCTTGCGGCGGGTGGGGGCTTTTTCATGTCGCTACTGTGTCCTGACCGTCCAGACCGCTCTAGTATTGGTCGATCTAACCGGGAAAGGGATCTGGGCAAACATCTGGAATGCCCCCCAGTTTCGAGTTGCGCCAATCAAGGCAGCTTTCTCATAGTACTTGAGAAAACGTGCGAGAACTTCTCCCCGGTACTGCTAGGAGATAGAGATATCGAGGTTCTCATTACCCACCTGCATTTATAATGGTATGCGGCTCCTTATTGAGGGATGGATCTTATCGCCTCACATTGGTCTTTACTGCTTTATGCTCGTCACTCTTTTGGGAGTAACTACTATATCCAAAGGAGCATGCTTGTCGGGGCTTCAGCCAATTTTGGATTCTAGGTGTTGCTTTTGTTGGGTGGGATATTAGTTGGCTGATGGGTGTTCTGAATTTAGGGTAGACTTCGGCTTAATCCATTGCCGATCAATTGTTCAAGCCAAATAGTGGTATGGGTATATTTCATGAAGGCATGTTGGCCGTTCAACGTGGTTACAAACTGACCAGCTTCATCTGGACTTTCACAGGAAGTGCGGTCGCATTATGTGCTTTTTGTTTCACAGTGTATGATCTTGTAGACGAAACCACCCTCGATTGTGTTCATATCCAGCAATTATGACGCGCACGCCCTTCAAAAGAATTAGGATTGTTTTCCCAGCTTTAATAGGATCTACAATATTCCAATACGCTAGTATGATTACGCCAAGAAGAGCAGATCAAAGACTAGCTGCGTCGAGTATTTATGTCTGGGTGCTACTGCTTAGGAAGGCTAATATGTAAGCTATATCGAGTCATCCCGAAGATCAGCAAGGCTGTACTTACCTTTTGTATTCTTATAATTTTATAATTCTCGAAGCTCAATAATTGCTTGCGGATTTGACTTCTCAACCCCTTCAATTCTACGATGGACTCATTCCTAGACTCCAATATGACAGAGATCAGAATACAGCCATGTCCATCACAACGAAAAAGAATCCAAAACCGCATGGCGCAGCGGAAATTTCGTGAGTCAATACAAACTCTTCCAACTATCAAGGTTCCATCTAATATTTCTGTATCACCCTATAGGTGAAAAAGCAAAAGCCCAGAAACAATCCCATCCTCCAGAAAATCAAGCCAATACTATTGGCAATGGAAAAAGCCACGATGCACCGCCCAATCTGCCGTCACGGATAATGGACCCTGAGCCCCACGATAACGGGTATGCATACTTGACATCGGGGAACTATGTTGGACCTTTGTCTGCAGTCACCTGCAGTATTCCAGGCCTCCTGGCAGACAATATACAGGAGTCCAATCACAATATATTCGAAGATGCTATTATCACACCACCGGAAAGTATCGAACAATCGCCATATGATTTGCAGACATCAAGCCTTGAAGAGCAACTTTTCAAGTTCGTATAGCCTCTTCCTTAACAGGATCGTGCATATATTGTTTATTATCAGATCACTTACCTCTCCTGAGCCGAAATATAGGTCTTGTCCTCCTAGCGGAGCCGATTGCGGTATCCTTCTCGACCCCGATTTTGCGTTCTTAGGTAACCCACAAGACCAACAGAAAGGGCAACGTCCAGAGGAGAGACATAGATGCAGATCCGCAATTGCTACCTGCCATTGTGATAGTGTGGGTATACTCTTGATTAATATTTATCTTCTTGGACTAACCACCCCAACTAGGGAAATTCTAAAACACCGAAGCACGTCCACCGAATTGTTCAGTACCAAAGAGCAAAGTTATTATACCAGACCGAACAGCTTCTCGAAAAGGTTGAGTCCCTATACGATGTCGGCA